GTCTCCAGAGCCTTTCCTAGAGACAAGTGGGCAGTGATGGATAATGGTAAGCATTGACAACCACAACACATTCTGTTACTCTCTAGGCAGCCCAGAAAAACACACAAAAAACAAAGGGAGAAAGAGGAGAGGAGGAAGAATTGTCTTCTTTGAAAAAAAAAAAAAAAAGAAAAAGAAAAGAAAAAAGCAGGGCTTTTAAGAGTTAAATTACACAACCTTTTTATTTTTAAAGTGGGTAGATTTCTCTCTGCTGTTGCTGAGAAAGATAAATTGATACCACATGTTGCTTCCAGACAAGCCCTCTCTGTTCCAGGGAAAGCACATGCAGCTGGTGTCTGGGTTAGTAGAGTCTCCACGAGGTAAACACGGAAGGAGCCGAAGTGGATGCAGAGGAGCAGCAGTTACGAAGTGTCCAGTTACTGGCACAGCTCCATAAAAACTTGTAAAAGTCGGACTCCTTTCTTGGAAGGCACCGCCCCCTCACCTTTTGACTTAGCGCACATGATGCTGGGGAAACAGTTTGGTCCTTGATGTCTGCCGCTGTGTGTGGGATCTGACAGTTGTTGAGAGCTGTGCTTGGCACTCCGCTGACCAGTGTGGCATGCTGGGAGTCACACAATCCTCAGAGGGGTTCATCCCAGAGTAGAGAGTGCATTTGATCCTGCCTTCTCCAGATCACAGGCAGGTGTCATTGCTGCAGACAGACAGGCTCAGGGCTCTGGGACCTGTCTCAGCATGGGTGTCTTCCTCCATGACTACCTCCCTCTGCTTGCTGTGTTACCCACCCACTCTGTAAATGGGTGGTGGAGTACTCTGCAACTCCAGGCAGCCGCTTTCTGACTCCTATTCTGTTTTGAGTCCACCTGTCTCCATACTGATTTGGCATATAGTTAAGGATCACAAACACCTTAGCATCAGCAGTGAATGTATTCTGCAACAGAAAGCTGTTTGTTGCATGGAGAAAATAATTATCAGATTCTAATCAGTGGTGTCATCTTTATGCCAGTGTCTTCTAGGTGGGCCAGGCAAAGGAATCTCTAGGCACTGGCCCACACAGCACAGTCAGCATGACTCTGAAATGTCAATCCCAACAGGCTCAGAGATCCACCTGCCTCTGCCTCATGAGTGCTGGGATTAAAGGCATTTACCTAGCACAACAGGATATTTTTAACGTTAGTTTTCCTGAGACTGAAGTTGGGGAGGGACCCTTTGAAGTCTTAAAGTACTTCATTTTTCATTTGTTACCAGGAAAGGTATAGAAAAAAAAAAAATCTCAGTGCTGATGTTTTACGCAGCCCTTTTCTGTCTGTCTGTCTGTCTGTCTATCTATCTATCTATCTTTCCTGTTTCAACAAAACTGAGGTGGGAAACCCAACCTTTAGACTTCTGAACTCTGAGGAAAATACATTTGTAGTGTCTGCACTTGGCAGGGCCCCAGCATTTGAACAGTAATGGACAGGTAAATGATGATGTTCATTGGTCTTTGGCTGTGCCCTGCCTTCAGATTATGGATTTTATGGTGGCCAGTCTGCATGAAGAAAGGCTGCTGGGACTGGAGCCTGTCAGGATGGTGGTGGCCCAGTTTTTATGTTGTCTTAGTAAAGTAGCCAGAGAAACCTGCCTGGGTGCTGTGGATAATGAGCTTCAGGGAACGTATTCTACAACCAGTAAACCTCCAAAACGAGAGACCGATGAAGACTGGCCACAAAGGCCAACCTCTCCTTCCTAAATTGGGCTTTGTGGAAGAACCTGTGGTGGTCCCATTCGTTAGTGTGGTCATACTGCCCTCTCCTCAAGAAGGGGACTCCACCACAAGAACAACAAAATACCTTTATGCAAAAATCTGGGAAAGGCCTCTAAATTTCAAAGTATCTTATAAATAAAGTCACAATAAGATTATTTGTGTGTGTGTGTGTGTGTGTGTGTGTGTGTGTTTATCTTCTTTCTTAAATCATAGTTGCTTTGGGTGTTTTTCTTGAACTGTTGCATAGATGCATGAAATGGTGACTTAACCTGTTTGTCGGCCTGTGAAGAAACAGAGAAAAAGCAGTACATGAACACTGGGGACCGACTTCCAGTTGAAGGTCCCGTGTGCTGGCCGATGGGCTGTACTGATTCATGTCTCCAAGCCTGAGCCTTCACATGCAAAATCAGGGCACTGATATTATGAGAATCCGAGGCAATGCATACAGAACCCAGGGTTCGTTAGCCAGCCCTGCTTTGATCTGGCAGGCCTTCAGATCTTCCCTTTGTAATTAGGGACCTGGTCAGGAGGCTAGTCTTCCTGACCCATTCCTGCCCTTACTCCCTGTAGTACTGGCCTTCCATGCCAGGTGTCCCAGGCCCTAACAGAAGCTTGAGATCTGTCTCTAATTTTAGCCACTTGTAATTGCATAAAATTATACATATACATTGTTAGGGGTTAGAGTCATAGTCATAGGAGGTGACAGAAAATCCATAAAATACTCCATTTAGTAGGTTTGAAATTGGTTAACAGTAAAATACATTTTAAAATATTATTCTTTAAAAACATACAGGATCACTGAATATCTGAGATTGCTCATTTTCATAAATGTTTGGTGTTTTTGTGAACTCTTCCCATGCTTTATGGCAAAGAAGGCTGACAGATGGGAATAATTAAATGGCTCCCCTAAAGGCTCAGGACCAGCTTGCTTTTAACCCGAAAGTTTGTATTTACATTTTTTCACTGAATACATTGAGCCAGCCGTGTACGCAAACTGGGCCTGTCCTGCTCTTCTCTGCAAGTGCATGTCAGGAATGTGCTCTGTACCTACCTCAGAGAGAAAGGATTCTGATTCAAAGGAATAAAATTTCTGAACCTTTAGTACACGTGCCATTATTCTAAACAAACACACACCACATATAAACACAAAACCATTAAATGTGAAAGGGGAACGGGGAATTTGTCTTCTGGGCAGCACCTCCTTCATTGGATCCTTGGGGTGGTGCCTGTTATCTTAGCCATCTTGAAGGCATTTTGTAGAAAATGGCAGCTGGGACCATAATTGCTGTTCGTTGCCCAGCCTGGACCGCAGTTCCTTCTTGAATGGGAATGTACATTAGAAATACTGTGTATTTTGATTTATTTACTTATGACAAAAAAATTCTGTTGACTTCCTGTGTTTTAAAAACAATCTGGCAGAACACATGTATTTGTATCTTCCACATAAATACAGTCGGGGATTGCCAATTCTTTTTAAATGTGACTCTTAGAAGTGTTCTATTTAATATGTAGTATCAGACAGTGTCTTTCATCTTTAACTTGCCAATAAGAACTCCTGTGGCTTGCAGGGGCTGTTCCAGATGTGGGGAACACTGTCGACTTGCTCCCTGCCGTACATGAGGCATTTCACAGATTACAGCGAGCCTTCCCCAGGCTCCGAGCTCCTTCAGGGTGGACGCACGCTTCCTGAGAGAAGGCACTGAGTCACGGTGTGACGGGCTTCTCAGTGCGCTCTCGTCTGCCATCCTTACGTCATCCCTAGCAGGGAGGGGTGGTTGGATCATCGTGCCACAATGAAGATGGGAACCTGCTGTTGCTTCAGACAGATAAAGCGATCTGTATGTCATGTGGTTGGCCAGTGACAGAGATAAGGCTTGAGCCTGGCTGACCACTGGGTGCATCTACTAAGCCAGAGGAAGATTCTTATAGAAGCGAAGATACTTAGGACTTTAAGGGAGGGGGGGGTGCCCAGCTGAAGGGAGAGGGCTGTTTTAGATATGTGGAAATGACGGAATCCACGCGTATTCACCATCAAGCATCTCCTCTTAACATCTTACCATCTGGTACAAGGGTCACAGCAGATGAGCCAATATTTGTCATTGTACGCCAAAGTCTATACATGCTAATCAGCCTTAACCAAATTTTCTTTTTCCCTCAATGGGATCCCATCCAGGATGCGTCAGCTCCAATCCCTATGTCTTCTTAGTCTTTCCTTGGCTGCGATGGTTGTAGGGGTACTAACACGCTTTTGTAAATGCTCCTTAATTGGGGTTAATATTTTCTTAGAGTGGATTTGGGTTTTGGAGAAAGACTGATGAAGAAGTTAGCATTTTCAATGTGCTCTATCCAGGATGCACACTAGCAATGTGCTGTTCCCTGTTTACACTGGCCTTGCTCACCCAGCCAACACGGCAGCTCTCAGCTTTCTCCACTGCAGATTTATTCTCTCTTCCCGTCTCATACTGTACTCTTTGGATGGAAGTTACTTAGCCAACACTTCCTGAGGGTGAAGAGTGTGTAAATGAGGCAAATTCTTTTAAACGAGGTACTCTTACTCCTTGGTTGTCCCTGAAAGCCTTCCCTACCCTTCTCATTTCTGCAGAAATTATATGGCAAGTTGTGAAATTGTGGCAGGGTGAATCCTAGAGGGAACAGGTAAAATGTCACACTTTCTGATAGAAGCATTTAAGAGGTAACTGCTGGCTCTGTATGAATGGAACCAAGGACTGAAAGAGAACAGACTGGCCACCTAGGTGACTGGGTTTCTGAGAACTGGGAAGTTTTTTGCAAACTGTGGAAACGGAGTGCCATGGTAATGAATTATCAGTGTGGACTGCAGTATAAGAAACAGAATTACAGAATGCAGTAACGTGTGAGAGTTGGGGGAAGCAGCGTGAGGGAGCTCCTGCTCCCAGCTCCTGCATGTGGAAGTCTCCACCACCCCCACATGAGGCTTCCCACTTCACTTGGCTCTTTGTTCCAAGTCACAAAGATGGCTGTTGTTGAAGAAAAATGCTAGCCTACCTGACTTGAGTTCAGTCCCTGGGGGCCACATGGTGGAGGGAAAGAACCAACTCCCACAAGTTGTCCTCTGACACCCATGTGCGTGTGTGATACCCCTCTCTCCCCCAAAAAAATCTATAAGAATTTTTTAAAGGTCACCCATCTTTAATTGAGAGGTCTTTGAAGACTGAAGACTAAATGTCTGTTTGGACCTTTCTGTTCACATTGTCCGTTTTCCCTTCTCTCTCTGCAGAACTCTATCCGGCACAACCTGTCGCTGCACAGCCGATTCATGCGAGTTCAGAATGAAGGGACTGGCAAGAGCTCGTGGTGGATCATCAACCCGGATGGTGGGAAGAGTGGGAAGGCCCCCAGGCGACGGGCCGTCTCCATGGACAACAGCAACAAGTACACCAAGAGCCGTGGCCGTGCGGCCAAGAAGAAGGCTGCCCTGCAGGCAGCCCCAGAGTCGGCAGACGACAGTCCCTCCCAGCTGGCCAAGTGGCCCGGTAGCCCCACATCACGCAGCAGCGACGAGCTGGATGCCTGGACCGACTTCCGCTCACGCACCAATTCCAACGCCAGCACAGTCAGTGGCCGCCTGTCACCCATCCTGGCAAGCACAGAGTTGGATGACGTCCAGGACGATGACGCCCCACTCTCCCCCATGCTCTACAGCAGCTCCGCCAGCCTGTCGCCCTCTGTGAGCAAGCCATGCACTGTGGAGCTCCCGAGGCTGACCGACATGGCGGGCACCATGAATCTCAACGACGGGCTGACTGACAACCTCATGGATGACCTGCTGGACAACATCACGCTCCCGCCATCCCAGCCGTCGCCTCCTGGGGGGCTCATGCAGCGGAGCTCCAGCTTCCCGTATACCGCCAAGAGCTCCGGCCTGGGGTCCCCAACCAGCTCCTTTAACAGTACCGTGTTTGGACCCTCGTCTCTGAACTCGCTGCGCCAGTCACCCATGCAGACCATCCAAGAGAACAAGCCAGCCACCTTTTCTTCCATGTCACACTATGGTAACCAGACACTCCAAGACCTGCTCACTTCAGACTCGCTCAGCCACAGCGATGTCATGATGACCCAGTCAGACCCCTTGATGTCTCAGGCCAGCACGGCTGTGTCTGCCCAGAACGCCCGCCGGAACGTGATGCTTCGCAACGACCCAATGATGTCCTTTGCTGCCCAGCCTAGCCAGGGGAGTTTGGTCAATCAGAATTTGCTCCAGCACCAAACCCAGGGCACTCTTGGTGGCAGCCGTGCCTTGTCCAATTCTGTCAGCAACATGGGCTTGAGTGACTCCAGCAGCCTCGGGTCAGCCAAACACCAGCACCAGTCTCCCGTCAGCCAGTCTATGCAAACCCTCTCGGACTCACTCTCAGGCTCTTCACTGTACTCAGCGAGTGCAAACCTTCCTGTCATGGGCCACGACAAGTTCCCCAGTGACTTGGACCTGGACATGTTCAATGGGAGCTTGGAATGTGACATGGAATCCATTATTCGTAGTGAACTCATGGACGCCGACGGGTTGGACTTTAACTTTGATTCCCTCATCTCCACACAGAACGTTGTTGGTTTGAACGTGGGGAACTTCACTGGTGCTAAGCAGGCCTCATCTCAAAGCTGGGTGCCAGGCTGAAGGATCACTGAGGAAAGGGGAAGTGGGCAAAGCAGGTCAGTGCCCAGTGCCATGCGTGAGCATAACAGGTGGGGGTGTTGGGGGTCACTGTCTGCTGTACCCTTAACAGCCCATGAAGAACCCACGGAGCAGCCATGACTCTAGGCGCTTTATTAGAGTTTATCTGCAGACTAGAGTATTAAAGAGAACACCTGAATATTCAAAGAGCTCACTCTCTATCCTCTGTCCTCACAGAGCTGTGACACAGGCTCTCCTACCTTTGTGTGTGGATGGATGATAGGAAGCAGGAAAGGTGAGGAAAGGAGGCACGTAGGTCATAGGTCAAAGGTCAAGGTGAAGCATACCAGCCTGAGGAGTTCTTACAAAGACTCGGGTCCAGCACTGGCTTCATCTTCTGTGTGATGGGTCTTCGCCCCTAGAAAAGTAATATTCTGCCTGAGTTCTGATTTAACTGTAGAAGGTGTGTTCTTGGACTCAATTGATATATAAAGAACAATCTATTCGATTATTCTTTGAAGCATAGGCCATCATTATCGGGGTTCACAAAGCATTTTAAAAAAGCAAATTAGGTTGAAAAATATATGTTTTTATAGAAGGAGCATTTATGTGCATCTGTTTTAACACCTGGGAATGATGTCAGATACAAAGTCATGGTTGTGGGCAATGACCGCTCCTCTTATTTTTGTTTTAATTTTTGGTTACCACAAAGTAGCTGCCACACACCCACAGAAAAGATACGGAATATTCTCTGTTCCTCTGGCCCAGGGGCTTTGTTGAGCTGGTATCGATGCTCACATCTTTCATCAAGTGCCCTCCCGTAGCCCACTCACTGTGTGGATGCGCTTGGGAGGGCTCATGGTGTGTTTCCTTGTGTTACCACCTCATGAAGAGCAGAAGCCATTCTGGCTGGCCCAAGTTGGGAAGGAAGGACACAGGGACTGTGGGAGGGACATGCTATTTCTTAAGTGGCAGTATTTTAATGCTGTTGTAATAGAACCAGCGGGTGCTGTGATGTAGTGAGGAAAGCAATGGACTTGGACAGGTGGGGCACACCTATAATCCCAGCACATGAGAGGCAGAGGAGAGGTGAGGCATGTATTTGAGGCCAGCCCGGGCTATAATAGTAAGGCCCTGAATGTCCATTACAGCAGCAGTGATGAACTTGCCATTTGGTCCTGAGCCTCTCTCTTCCAGCTTAAGCAATGAAGACAATGGTCCTGCTATTCCATAGGGCTACTGCAAGACCCAAGCACACAGAAGAGTGGGAAAGGGTTTTGTAAAACTACACCAGGCTAAAATAGACTAAGTGCAGTTGTGTGAGCACACTGTCAAATGAGCAAGCAGGGAGTCACAGAGGTAAAGGAGAGAGAGCGAGCACAAGCACTCTGGACTAAGCCAGAGTGTGAATGAATAATGGACAAACTTTCCCTGGAACTCTTTTTCCTGGGCTGGGAGGGGAGTCTGGCTATTTCTGCCAACTTGTTTGTTTCAGTATGTGCCTCTGATGCCCAGTGTTAAAAAGCTCTGCACATCAGCACCCTCTTTTCCTTCTTTTTTTTTTTTTTTTTTTTTTTCATTTCAATCTCAGCAAGCTACTTACCTCCCCCTTCAAGTGCTACAAAAGAGAAAAGGCACTGAAAGCCCTCACCCCAGCCATTTTAGCCCTCCTCCCTGGTGCAGGCATTTACAAGGCTCTCTTATGGTGAGCTCACTGAAGCCCTCCCTGGGTAGCCGTGGAAAGGGGAATGGCAGAGTATTCTCAGTCCAAAGCTCCTCAAACTTTCCCAGGCACTGATAGAAACCCAGACATCGGCCGTAGTCACTTACCAGCCTCGAGTCGGTAGATGGCTATAACGGAAGCTAAGTGGAGTGAGTGCCAGCCAGTTACACCAGACCTGTTGGGCCAGGAGGTTTGCCTTTAGAAACAGAGATACTCAGATTTTGGAAGAATAAAAACTTTGTCGAATGTGATTGTGGTTTCTGAAGACACAAGAAAGTTCAGTTTGTTCTCAATTGTAAGAAGGCCACTTCCTATCACTAGAGAGACTTCAGAAGAAAATGTGCTATCAGTTTTGTTTGTTTCCAGTGTAGGTTTTCCTTCTAGTTGAATAGCATAGTGTGTGTGTGTGTGTGTGTTTATAAAAATTGTATGAAAATCTGTTAAGGGAGATTTAAATAGATGATAGACTTTTATTAGTGATAAATTTCTATTGTGAAGACAGTACATTTCACCATTATACTGCAATGGAACTTCAGGTTGTTATTTAGATTTTTCATTTGAAGGGAAGTAGATTTGAGAGGATTTTTTTTTTCCTGTTAAAATAAAGTCGGGGCTGGCAAGATGACTTAGCAGGTAAAAGGGCCTGCCTACCAGGCAAGCCCAAGGAAATTAGGAGAGCCGATTTCCGGAAGTTGCTTTGACTTCCATGCTCACAGTGATGCTCATGTACACACTTGCACACATTATACACTTAAATAAAAAGTCACATGATAATGAGAAAACATAAAAGCATAATAAAAGTTATAAAATAAATAAAAATTATAGCACACTGGTAATCTCAGGACTTGAAACACTAAGGCAGGAAGAAGATCAAGAGTTTAAAGCCAGCATGGGATATTCATAGTGGACCCTTTCTAAAAACTAAACAAAACAAACCGTAGATAAATTTACTAAGTCTTCCTGAGAACAGTACATCTTTGCATGATGGCAGGACAAGAGGAGGAACATCGTAGGTGGGCGGGGGGCGGGGGGCTGCCTGAGCCTGGTTTCATCTTGTGTTAGAATGAATTCTGTCAGCCATCAGGAGCACAGTGTGACCCAGAAAGTTAACAGGGGTTGGTTTTTGTTTTGTTTTCTAACTTGTAAGCTTAACTTGTTTCCACTTTATTTAAGTGTTTCTCTTACATTTGGAAGCAGGCCTAAAGGCCACTCTAGGCCTCACATCCCTCTGATTTGTTCCCCCCAGCTCCCAAGCGCCATTCTTCCTGGCTTGCTTCTGCGTTGTCCTAGCCAGACCAGTTTGCAGTGTGCCAGCACAAGGTCACGTGGCCATACTGTGACTGCGCAAGCCGCTCTGGCCAGGTGACATCTTGCTGGAGAACCACTGAGGCTTCTCTGGGGAGAGTCTCACGTGTAGCACCCATTTTAGGGCTTGGGCAGGAGCCTTGCAGGGCCAGGCTTATCTGCAGAGAGGAACAGCTGTTTGTTCTGAGTGTCAGGTCCTGGGTGGGTAGAGTCCCGGCCTCCGCAGGAGCCTGTGGACTCGACAGGTACACGAGTGGGAGAGGTGGCATGGGGGCAGCAGGCTGGGCTTCCAGTGAGCTCTCTGGAGTTTGACAAGCATCCTCTCACAGAAGAAAGCTACTTTAATCTCACTCTTGTTTTGATATCACAAGATCTTTTCACTACTCTTCGTTTTTGTTTTTTTTTTTTTTTTTTTTTGTTTTGTTTTTTTTTTTAGCATTCGGAGGCCCCTTTGGGGAGAATTCAGAATGTAGTTTTCTATGAAACTACTATATGGTAAAACTTGGAAGCCATCCATAGGGGAAGCTAGATGGTGAAGTGAGGGGGTGGGGCTCTCCTGCTTCGGCCATTAGCTACATTACTAACAGGTCTCTAATGTTAGGTTTTCATCTGTCAACAGAAAGCAGAATCGTAGCAACAGATGCAGGTAGTATTTTCTTTCTCAGTCACTTCGTTTTAGGAAATGTAGCATAGGGTAAACAGATCTGTGGTGTGCTGTGTGGAGAAAGAATGCTGCCGTCCCTCTGTCTTTGGTTGCAGTAACAAGCCTAAAGCATTTTCTGCCTTGCAGCCATCCTAGTCCACCTGTCATCCATGCTGAGACTGACTGCATGGTTGGTTGGTTGGTTGGTTGGTTGGTTTGGGGTTGATTTTTTTGGTTTGTTTGTTTGTTTTTGTTTTGTTTTGTTTTGCATCAGGGTTTCTCTGTATAGCCCTGACTGTCCTGAAACTCACTCTCTAGACCAGGCTGACCTTGAACTCAGAGATCAACCTGCCTCTGCCTCCCAAGTGTTGGGATCAAAGGCGTGCGCCACAACACCCAACTTGTATTGGATCTCTTTAGTGTTGATGACAGCAAAGGAAAATGGATAACTATTCACTGTTTCCTAAGTTTTTAATATAGTGCATCATATCTTTTTTTGAGAAATCCATGGTAACAGCATCAGTCTGGAAGACTGTGAACTCTCCTGATACTTGTTCGGTGTTTCCTATGCCTCATCACACAGCAAGCACTTCTCAGCCCTGCACTGTGGCCCATCCCACACGGGGTCAGGGACAGCCAGAACTCACTGAATGAAGTTTGTCTGTCTGAGCGCTCACTGGCATGAGAAAAAGAGGTGACTCAAACTAGGTCTGTCCCTTGAGGGATGCCTGGCCTGGAGGGGAAGGAGGTGGTGGCCGGAGTAACCTTTTGTCCTACAATGAAGAGTGCCTTCAGCAGGAATGTAAGCCAAAGACCCACACAGTTGCCTGCCTTAGCACGCTGGAGTCTCTTGCTCAGCACTGCCGACAACTTCATTGTTACGTATTTTCCACTCGTTTTTCCTGTGGGCATAAAAATGAAGGGCCTACCACTTCCAGAGCTCCACGCAGCTAGGTCACAGCTCAGGCTGACCCCAGATGCTGGCTTCTTGTTAAAAATCCAGCAGGACCTTTCCTTTAGTTCAGTTCACACTTGGCTTTTAGGGCCAGTTTCTCAAATTGAGAATGGGCACTTCAGCACGTCGTCCCTGGGCTCCGCTCAGAGGGGAGCTATAAATTAAATCACCTCTCTGCAGTGGAATTGCATAAGGCCTTTGAGATGGCAGAGAGACTGACCTTCACAGGTGGCGACCATTTTCATGGCACTGTGGCGTCCGGCCACATCATTTGTCTCTTGGGCTCACTTATACAGTGGGGCGAGCGTTTATGCTTCCCTAACAGAGCTGGCTTTCATAGGGACCTTCATGTGGGATGCTGTATTTTGTCACTTGAGGTTATTCACTGTTTCTTGGGATTTTAAACAATCCC